CACCTTCAATGTCATAATTCATCGGCTCTCCATCGTTAATTTACTCTCTGCTGCTCCACTATATATCATTTTCCATCTTTCTCATGGAAGATATTTTAATAAACGTACGTAGTATAAAATACAATTTTCCGGAAAGTACTAATTGAAATAGTGGTGGAAATTTAATTGAATAGTAGTGAAAATATAATTGTTCAGTCTCTAGAGTGTGTCGATAAACACCATTAATTAACAACTATGAGGAAATTAGAGGAGGGTTATTGAGGATTTCCCCTCAAACTTGATATGCTGGTGTTTCTCCTTTGCACAACGGCACCCACGGAACCGACAGTTCCAAATTAAAAGGCAAATTATACCGTACACTTGCTTATACAATCGGGTATTTTTGCAATTAATTGCAACTCCAAATGATAAAGATTAGGGATTCTGTTCTTCCCTGTTTGTTGCTCGGTGAGGTCTTCGGAGCCGATGAAGGAGGCGCCGACGAACTCTGTTTCTCGCATGCTGAATTCCGGAGCATTGGTGAAGGAAGGTGCCGCTCCTGGGAGTTGGATGAAGGAGATCGTGCACTTTGTGGTCTCGATCAGTTCGAATCCTATGAAGACCAATTCCAACTTTGTACTTTAATATTATAATTTAATATTATATTTCAAGCTTGTGTTTTAATATTTTCAGTTTGTTAGTTATTACCATAAATTTATTTATGAGATAAAGGTCATATTGGTATTCGAAGTTACATAAAAAGTATCAAATAAGTCCTTATATGGGAGGCTCTGTCCGGTCGTCGTCATTTGGGACGGTTCTCGGTGGAATTTTTTGACCAATTTTTTTGAGCATCTTACTCTTTAAGTCTAGTTTACTCATACCAAATTTCAGCTAAAAATTCAATTGCTAAGGCATTCAAATGAATTCTTGAAGATAACTGCGCAATTAAAAGCGCAGTTATCTTTAAGAATTCATTTGAATGCCTTCACAATTGAAGTTTTAGCTGAAATTTGATATGAGTAAATTAGACTTAATGAATAAGATGCTAAAAAAAAATTCATCAAAAAATTCCACCGGGAACCGCCTCAAATGGCGACGTCCGGACAGTAAGGACTTATTTGACTCTTTTTATGCAACTTTGAGTACCGATCTGACCCTTACCTCATAAATTTATGTTATATTAAAAATTAGCATACACAAATGAAAATTTGAGCATTCTGAATGTGCTAATTGCTGAGATGAGTTTTATGTTATACTAAAATGAGTATTGTGTTATACTAAAATGAGTATGGTCTAAAATAAATGGACATGAGTAAATATTATAAAAACAACACGATTATATTTGTAATTTAAGAACAAAAGACTATAAATTATTTTTAATATAACACTCTAATGTTTCTCATTGTTATATATAACGAGAGTTTATAAATCGTTAATAATGCATCTACTAGATGTACACATTATAAAAAGTAGTTTATGTTATATTTGAATGAGTATAGCGATTAAAAGAAATGAGCATATACAAATGAATATCAGAACACATTACAGAATTCAATTGAGCTTTTGAACAATTATGTATGTTCATCTGGTATAGGTTTTATGCTCATTATAAAATGCCATATCAATGCATATGTTAAAACTACCATATTACATTAGATTCCCATGAGATCAAGTTGATTATAGACACGAGCATACAGATTATGATACTCAATTACATGCTTCTAATACTCAATAAAAAAAATTTGATCCTCAATGAAAATATCTTGATGATCAACTAACAAAGCTTATTATTTTCATATTAATGCTCATTTTGAAAGTTATTTATGCTCATTTGGTATTGATGTTATGCTCATTTTAAAATGCGGCATACCAATGTTTATATTAGATCTGCATATTGAAATTCATAGTAATTGATTATAGATATAATTTAATGAGTTTTTATAAAATATAAGATAAGAAAAAGAAAGTGAATTACAATATATGAAATTGATATCACAATACTTATTATTCGACTCTTAATGCTCAATAGAATACGTCTGATGCTCATTATTGGGTTGATTATAAACACACGAGCACAAATCATGATACTCAATCACATGATTCTAGTACTCAATATCGGATGTTTGATGCTCACTGAAAATGCATTGATGCTCAACTAACAAAATTTATAATTTTCATATTAATACTCATTTTGTAAGTTACCTATGTTCATTTGGTATTGATGTTATGCTCATTTTAAAATGTCATATAATGCATATTTCAAAAGTACCATAAATTCACATATTAAAATTCATAAGAGTTGATTATAGATATAATTTAAGAAATTTTTATAAAAGAAAAAATAACAAAAAAAGTGAATTAAAAGTTATGAAAAAGATATCACGATGTTCAATATTAGACTCATAATACTCAAAAAAATAGGTTTGATGCTCATTAAAAGTTAATTCATGCTCATTTAACAGAAACTGTGATTTTCATCTCAAGAGAGGAGGTTTGATGCTCAATGAAAGTGTCGTGATACTCAACTAACAAACCTGGCAATTTTCGTATCAATGCGCATTTGGTAAGTTAATTTGCTCATATGATACTTTTGAAATACGCATTGATATGAAATTTTAAAAATGAGCATAACATCGGTGCCAAATGAGCATAGATAACTTACAAAGTGCACATTGATATGAAAATCACAAGATTTGTTAGTTGAATATCAAGAAATTTTAATTGAGCATCAAATCTCCGCTATTGAGATAAAAATCACGGTTTCTGGTGAATGAGCATTAATGAACTTTTAATGAGCATCGGACCTATTATGGTGAGTATTAGAAGTCTAATATTCAGAATTGTGATCTCTGCTTCATAACTTCTAATTCACTTTCTTTTTGTTATTTTTCCTTTTATAAAATTATATTTATAATCAACTCCTATGAATTTCAATATGTGAACCTAATGTAAAATAGTACTCCGTACTTTAAAGCAAATGCATTGATATGACATTTAGAAAATGAGCATAAGATTAGTACGGGATGAAACATACGTAACTTACAAAATGTTCGTTTATATGAAAATCGCAAAGTTTGTTAGTTTGACATAACAACATATTCATAGAGCATCAAACCTCATCTATTGAGATGAAAATCATTGTTTCTGTTAAATGAGCATTAATGAACTTTTAATATGAATCAGACCTATTATGAGCATTAAAACACTTTCGATGAGCATCGGACTTATTAGGAACCCAAAAATATATATAACAAAATTATAAATATATTTACATACGAGAGTAAATTAATAGTATGATTCCTAGATCAAATAAATACCTTAAAAACATGAATAACTCTTTTAATAAGTAATAATGAGCAAAAGCAAAGAATGGTTAATATTACAATTACTATTAAGGGAGAAGGTACAAATATACCCCTGTACTATGGGTGGGAGAACAAATATACCCTTATTCTATTTTTCGGAACAAATATACCCCCGAAGTATATGTTGAAGTGCATATATACCCCTGAACTTTTAAAAAGTGCAAAAATACCCCTTGTGTTCTTATAAAGACGCAAATTTACCCTTAATGACGTTAGATAGATAAAATAAATTTCAAAAAACACCAAAAATAAAATATAAACTCGATATTTAAAAATAAAGATTTATTATTATGTTAAAATATTAATTCTTTAATTTTAAATTTGAAAATTTTTATTTTGTTGTAAATGAAGCACTTCAAATTCATTAATACTAGTATTACTTTTATTCTTTTTATGAAATTTTGAACACATTGTTATATTTTTTTAAGTAACATTCTTTGATTTTGTTTAAACTTAATAAAATTAAATTCACTATTTTGTAATCTTGAACTATTTATCATCATATAAAATATGTAATTTTATAGTGCAAAGAATGCAAAAAAATTATTTTTTTTGTATTGGAACACATAAGTAACACTTTTTTCGAAAAAATCTAAAATATATAGTAATGTTTTGAAATAACATTTTATACTAACAATATTTAAATGTGATTACAAACAATAAAGGGAGAATTGGACACAAGTACATTTTTAAAATTTTTATTTTTTAATTTTGAATTTATAATTTATGTTTGGTGTTTTTTTGAAATTTATTTTATCAATTTAAAGTCAATAAGGGTATATTTGCTCCTTTATAAGAATATGAGGGGTATATTTGTACCTTTAAAAAAGTTCAAGGGTATATATGCACTTTCACAAATACTTCAGGGGTATATTTGTTCCGAAAAATAGAACATGAGTATATTTGTTCTCACACCCATACTACAGGGGTATATTTGTACCTTTTCCCTTACTATTAACAAACAATTGTAGTACGGAGTGTGAAAACATGTAGGATAAGGAAGATAAAAGAACGGATAATAACAGCAAGGCGAGTCGGTGAGATGGTTGGAAGGCTGCATATTATATCTCAGGTCTAGGGATTGAATCTTTCTGGCATTTTAAGTTTTTTAAATTTTGGGCTTCTAAAGCATGGGCCTACAGTTAAGTAACTCAATTAAATTTGGGCTGGACATACACACGGTGGTATGATATACCGACTCAAATTAAAAGGGCAAGTATGTAAAATTAATCATATTATTTAATAAAAATTCTAATGTGAGGCTGTAAGTAGAAAAGGAGAGGCTACAATTAGAACTACACAGTCTACACCAAGTTTTTCTAATAAACACCTGTTATTTTCACTCGTCCAAATATATTTTTAAGTGTAATGATTGTTTTTTTTTTTGAAAAGGAATGAAATAATTGAAATTGATACCTCCAGTCTTTTTTAACATTATTTTATCGTATTTCATACTTCCTCCGTTCTTAAATAAGTGCAACAGTCAACATTTCACACTTGCGGGGGCACAACTTTGACCATTAATATATATAATTCTCCATTAGTAAAAAATTTAAAAAAAATCAATTTTTGAAAATTTACAATGAGACAAATTTAATAATATATTTTTCAAAAAAAATATTAATACATCAAGTCATCAATAAATAAAATGTAGTCACATGTTACACTTATTTAAGAACGGAGGTAGTATATAAATTTAGAAACAATTTTTATTTATAATTTAAGAGATCCAATTCAGTCTAAACTCAGTTCAATAGATTCTATCATTCCATCCATTTCAAACCTCACAGGAGGAGCATTGCATTGCAGACAATAATGTTCAATACTCAAATCAACGACATTTTCTGTGTTGCAAAATCCCAAGATGGACACGAAACCACTTTCACCCGAAGAAATTTCATTTAATGGTCTTTTTGTGCAGCAAGTTACAAAGCATGAAGAAGCATGCTAAGGGTATGCGAAAAACATCAGAAGTACTCTTTCTCGTCTGTGAACTAATAGACATATGTAGTATTGCCGAATGGAAAAGGACAAAGAGCGAAAGCAGCACTGGATCCTCATTTGTCTATTCACTCATGCGGTTCTTTCAGATCCACCACCAGTTTGCATGTGCAGCCAATCTGGTGAAGCTCCCCGATGATAGTCTCGAGTAGCTTGTGAACCAAACACTATTGTAGATGCATCGAAGGTGTGTGTAGGAAACTGGACAAAAAGTCAAGATTGTTTTTAACTTTGTAAAACATGAAAGAAATGATGCACCCATTCGGTAGTCACTGTCAAAGTCTTTTAGGTGATCTTAAAAGTATTGCATCATATTAGGGCCTGTTTCGGATAACTCTCGTGGTATAAGTGCTTTTATTTGTCATTACTACTTTCTCATTTAAAGCACTTAAACTGCTTTTCCTATAAGGATGTTTTTACTTGGACTGTAATTTGCTGGTCTGGTCTGGTCTAATTTGGTCTGAACTGGTCTGGTCTGGTCTGGTAATGTCTGGGTTCTTTGTATTTTTATAACTATCCAAGTCTGGTCTGGTCTGAACTGGTCTGGGACAAATTACAGTCCAAGTAAAAACATCCTAAAACACCAATCTCGGATGGTACCTAAGAGGCTAAAAGTAGCTTATTCGTTTGACTTATTTTGCAATATTACGAAGCGCTTTTATTTTGCAAAAGTTAAGAGATCCAATCATATAAGACAAACAACTCTTGCCAAACTCGCAAAACTACTTCCTAAAATAGGAGGAGAACATAGACAAGTGCACAAATAGAAATAACTACGTAGTATATTTTATTCCTAAAATATTTTATTCCTAAAATAAAAGTTATTTGATTCTAAACTTCCTCAAGAGAATTAGTCCTTTTTAGGAAGAAAATATTGTGTTTCTATTTGTACATCTTGACTATATTTTAATCGAATTTAAGGAATTTTCTCCACCACTTTTCTGAAAAACTCTTTTGTTTCAAGTAAAAGTGTTGTTTCCCTCTACATGGCACTTGCTTCGTCAAATTAGCTTACCCTAATGCTCTATTAATGGGTATGACTGAGAATGCATACGACACTTACATCTTTTGATGGGAATCCTTCGATTCCGGGGCTAATTGTTGAATTAACTGCTTCAAGCTTCATTGACAAAAACTAGAGAGAAATAAAACAAAAAATCGGAAGTGTTTGAATAAACCAGTGCACGGACCTGGATACTAATCTTAAGCATACCTCAACCTGACGTTGTAATGATTGGATATAATTAATAATCTCATCAAGGACCAGTGCTTTGCCAATAACCTGACAAATGTAAATCTCAAATAAAGAGGTATTTTCAAAGCGATCTACGGAGTAGGATTTTAGAATACTACTAGTCTAGTATTACCAAGTACCATCAAGGGTGTATTGAAAAAATAAGATAACATAAAAGCCTTCCAACATAAATTTTCATAGATACAATTAAGAATGTAAACAAACGCTAAACCCAAATAGAACTAACCCACTAAGACCAATCAATCAAAACCGATACTACCCAATTTAAGAGTAGGATTTAGGCTTTAAGAAACGACTGAACGTGACTGAAACATACAAAAACTAACAGATTATATATTCACATGCTTGATTTTATATAATTATAACAATTCATCATAAGAAACATAACTAAACAATGCTATCTCATTACAGGCTTATTATGACACTTCAATAAGAAGAGATGGCACAAAATTCAAATGCATCACCTTGTTGCAACCAGGGACTATATCTTGAAGAATTTTCATTCTTCCACTGATCTTTTCTCTTCTGGCCTGTGCACCAAAAGGATCCCATCAGGCATCATCCCTTCTTTTAAAAATACGAAACATAATCTCGTAAGAAAGTCAACCGACCAGTTATCAACATGATGCTAAAGAGCTGATCAGATCATGAGAGGTACCTTCCTGTATCTTAGCATGATAACTTTCAAATTCACAGAACAAGAAATAAAGAAAAGTACAATTATACCCTTTCTGCCAAGCTATGACTATCAGTTGCTTGACCCCTCCGTGCACGAACATGGATGTAATCTTTGGGCACTTCGGGGGGCTTTGCAGGTTGTTCTAATGGCTTTCCAGGAGTCCCTTCCCCATTGACTTCAGACTCAGGGTTATCATTTGAACCTACTGTCTTTAGTTGCTTAGTATCACTTTCATTCTGCTCAAAGGAATCAAATTCACAAAATTTAATGCTCCAATTAATATGAATTTTTATCGTGTTCACTATAATTAGTACGAGAAAAATTTATAAAGCAAATTGATGAAAAATCAGTAAGAGAATTCGAAATATTTGACTGCCTTCCTGTTAGGAAGCTGCTCGTAATAATCCATATTCAGAGTGACACATAAAAACAGCCAACTTTCCTTTCTGATGTATCAAAATAAAAACAGCCAACTTCTGAAGATTTCAGCTATGATGATGATGATAGCAATTATGATAGTGATTACAGTGATAATAATAATGATGGTGATTAATACTTCGTAATAATTAAAAAGAAGAAACAAAGTTAAGGAGTTAGCGGTATTCAAAGTCAATCCCAAAATAGACTCTATACAATAGATACAAAAAAAGTACTCCTTAAGAACAAGTGCAATTCGAATTCCGGTGCACGTGATAAATCAAATTGGGCAGAAGCTAATCGAACGCAAATGAACAATTGAACAAAACAAGTATACCAAATCTTCTAGTACATACGCAGAGCATGTGTGGATGATGAGGCGGTGACCAATTTATATGTACCAGATCTTCTAGTACATAATGATGGACTCATCATAATGAGATCATTGCATCTACCTTAGTCTTCTTTATGGAGCATGTTCCATATGTTTTAGCTAACATCTTGAGCAAGTATAAATGAAAACTACCAAGAGTAAATGAACGAAAACGACATAAATGAAAAAAGTTGACGAAAGAGTAAATCCAAAAGACTACCAAGTCATTGCCGCTGGTGGAAACTCCCTTAGCTGATTCGTCATCCTCGCGTCGCTTCCTAGCTCTGCTGCCGTTCTGATTCACTGTCTGGTCCGAAAACCGCGGATCACTCAACGGCGCACAGTGCTCTAGACTCACATTCGCGGGCATCCCCAACCCATACGCCGCCGGGCCGGCGGCATTGATTGTGAACGGCCAGATCTCAGTCAAGCTATACGGAGCAATAGGAGCGGCCTGGAAGTCCCTTCCGCCGCCGCCGCCTCCTCCGTTACTCATCAACTCAGCTTGCGGATCCATATCTACCCCCGCTGCAATGCTAGCAGTCAAGACTCAACTCATCAGAGGTGATGAGGTAGGCTAAGCTTCAGTGAGATTGAAAATAGTCATTCGAAGCGGCTAAGTAGCATCAGGAATAGGGGGACCGGGGGATATATGTAGTGGAGGGAACAAGGACAGCGGAGCCAAAAGTGCGTAGCAACCGGGAATGGGAACGGGCCGAACGGCAAATAAGGATATTTTCTAATGGGGAAAAGGTGCAAATAGGTAGTAACTAAAAAAGGTCAAATAAGCCCTTATTTAGGAGACCCTGTCTGGTCATTGCCATTTGGGGTGGTTCCCGGTGGAATTTTTTGATGAAAATTTTTTAGCATCTTATTCATCAAGTCTAGTTTACTCATACCAAATTTCAGCTAAAACTTCAATCGGGAAGGCATTCAAATGAATTCTTGAAAATAACTGCGCTTCTAATTGCACAGTTATTTTCAAGAATTCATTTGAATGCCTTCCCGATTGACGTTTTAGCTGAAATTTGGTATGAGTAAACTAGACTTGATTAATAAGATGCTCAAAAAATTTCATCAAAAAATTCCACTGGGAACCACCCCAAATGACAACGGCCGGACAAAGCCTCCTAAATAAGGGCTTATTTGATCTTTTTTGGTTAGTACATGGGCCTATTTGCACCTTTCCCCTTTCTAATTTGCTAGTGGGTGTGGTCTGGTCTGGTCTGAACTAGTCTGGTCTGGTCTGGTCTGATAAACGTTTGAATTCTGTGTATTTTATAATTACAGAAATCAAGTCTGGTCTGATCTAGTCTGGTCTAGAAATGAAAACAGTCTTAACAAATCAGAGGTGCAAAACGTTGAAAACATTGAAATTGTTCTTCCGTCTGGTCAGGTATGATGTTCAATGAGGTGCAAAACGTTGAAAACAGTCTTTACAATTCAATGCATGTTAAAATATGCATATGAAATTGTCCACTTCTCTTACTGTCTATTTCTCTTGTGAAATAATCAAAAAATCTGTATGAATTATTGATAATCATTAAATGAGTAAGTTTTGATGCCTGCCAATCAGTTCTTACGTGCTTATTTTCATGTCTGCCAATCGGTTCTTTGTGCACAATGATAAAATCTGCATGAAGTATTGATGCTTAACCAAATATAATTTTCGAGTTTGTATCCCACTAGTCATTAATAGATTTGGTCGTATTTTTATAATTTTCCAATGATTGTATAACTACTTAAGAAAATGAATAAAAAAAGGACAGAGAGATAGATATGTGTGAGGAATTATATGACTTAAGAAAATGTTTAATTAGACATTGTGTTTATAGATAATGCTAATGTATATAGACATGTTATTTAAGATATGTATATAGACATTGTGTTTGATTAGTAGACAGTATATACATAAGAAAATGTTAATGATATTATTTATTCACTGATGATTATAATACTTACACACTTATTATGACCAGGCAATTGTAAGGTCAATTGCAAACCCTGTCTTGTGTACAAAGAAGAAGATAAAATTGAATTGTTATTCAAATGTACATAATGCCATTGAAGTAATAAAGAAGCTGTTAAATGAAGAGCAACTCAATGAATTTAGAAATACAAATTTTGGAGGATTATTGGACATGGGTAATCTGGAATGGATGAATGGACAGTTGTTGGTATTAATAGTTGAAAACCATGTGAAGAAGCTTAACAAGAAGATTTGGACAGACAGGATTAATTTCCATATAGGAAATATGGAGGTGAGTTTAAGAAAGAATCATTTGGCATTAATCATACGATTTAAGATGGGAGGAGAGAAACCAGTAGTACCTGGAGAAGACAATATATGTGACATATGGAAAAGTTTTTTTAACGGAAGGAGTAATGTTTCAAGGGGTGATATAACAAGGGCTTTTGAGGAGTTTGATAATATACCTGTGCAGAAGGAAGCCATAGATAGGGTTAAGCTGGCAGTACTTAATTTGATTGCAAATTTTATCTTTGGGAACCAGAAGTCAGTAAAATGTCTAGCAATATACCTTAACATGGTAGATGATTTGGATTTAGTGAACTAGTATCCTTGGGGAGATGAAATATGGGGAGATTTAGTGGAAAAAGCGCCTAAATGGACACAAGATATTCAAAAGGCAACAAAAGATAGGTTCACCTTTCCAGGTTTTGTTTTTGCATTGCAAATATTGGCATTTGAAAGCTTCCCAGCTCTTAGGTTAATAAATGTTTGTACGGTAGAGGAAGCCAGAAGATCAATGTGGCCAAGACTGCTGAAGTGGTCAGTACCAAAAAAGACAAACATTGCTACACTAGCAGATGCCATATTTCTGAATGAAGAGGTAAACTTTAATTTATTGTTTACTTTATTTTATTGTCTACTTGATTTTATTGTCTGCACTGATTTTTTTCTGTTTTATACAGTTTAAGTATCAACCAATGCAACCAACTGAGGAGGAACTTAAGATTCCATAAATAAAGGAGTTGTATAGAAAGAAGACAATAAATTTAGGCAAAGGAGGCCGTCTTACTCTAAAGCATAGACTATCAAAAGAGAAAGCAGACTTTGCTATTCATGCAATTGAAAAGGCAATTTGAGAGAATCAAGATGATTGTGAAGTTCATAGTGATGGTCAAGGCACTGACGGTAAAGAAAATGAGCATCACAAAAGGCCATGTGATGTTGAACAAACTGACTGCAACCATAAAGTAGATGAGGGCATGAAGGAACAAAATGGTGAGAGTGCAATAGTAAGAGGACATCAAAGATTACAACGTTTGGTGAAGACAAGAAACATTGTTGAGAACCAAATGAGAGACAATGTCATTATGTGTAATATAATGGCTGCAGTTGTACTCCAATCCAAGAAGACCCAAAAGCTTGAGAGTAGAATAAAAGTGTTGGAAGATGGAATGCAAAGACTTCTCAGTGGTCAAAAGGAGCAAACGGATATGCTAAAAGCATTAATGCTTAGAAAAAGCACATCAAATGGAGAAGTTAAAAATAATGAACAAGAAATGAGCATGGATAACGATGAAACTTCCGACACAAGGGTAGATGAAGAGGCTTTGGTACCAGATATGCCTAGTTTTGACCTACATCTTGACCTAACATAGAAGGATGAAGGAAATATTGTGCAAAAGGTGCAAGTTGCAGACAGTGAGCACCATGAAGAAAATAAAGAAGTTGAAAGCAAGGATGCAAATCCCATAGGTGCACAAAAGGAGAAAACAGTAATCTTTGAAGAGGAAGGTTCACTAACTCCAGCTCAAGCAAGCATAAACACACAAGAGTTAGAATTGCGTCTGAACAGTGTCCTTCATGATGTCATTAATGACTTGAAAGAAAGTGACAAGAAAATAGAAGAAGAGGTAACTTAAATATTATTACAGTTTCAGTTTTATTAAAAACATTAACTACAAGAAAGGGGAGTTACTTTTGCAGACGAAACTGTACAACTATTATATCTAGTTGCACATATGGTGACATAACATAAGCATTAACAAACATTAAATTTATGTAGGTATATGTTGTTGAACAGAAGATCATAGAAGATAGTGAAACTAATAAGTGTGAGCCAAACAGTAAAGAAGAAAGAGATGAACAAATCAGGGATGCTCACAACTTTAAGGATGATGTAATTGGTTATATTGAAGACCAAAACTTCAAAAAAAAATTAAACAGTACAAATGGTTAATAGAATTACAGACACATTAATTTCTTATTATAATGACATATGGAACTTATCATGATGTTATAAATGCACAGAATAGAGATACGAGTGTTATTGGAGCTGAACAAAAAGGCTTTAAAAGGTCAAAAAGGACTGCTAGGAGTCCAGGCAGATACACTCCTAACCCAACCATAGAATCCAAGAAAAGGAAGATGGAAAGGGCACTAAAGAGGAGAAAAGAGATAGAACTTTCTGAAGTGATTGGAATTGTAGGGCCATTTAGTGAGGATCCAAAACAAATGCCCCCCACAGAAGATTTAGAAAAAAGTGAAAGAATTTGTGTTGAAGGGGCTAGTAAAGAACCATGACAACAATGTCCCAAAAAAATACAAAAAGTAAGAAGAGGAACTAGTGAAATGCAAGTTTGGTCTTCAATTGGACGATTTTACCATAAGAACAAAGACATGGATTTATGAACTATTCACAAATCCACATTGGTTGACTGACACGGTAAGTGTATAAAAAATTTTGAAATATATAAACTATAATAATATATTTCATAAAAATCATTAAGAAATTGATTTTTACTTATTTCAGCATATTCGAGTGGCATTTTACTACCTGGCAGTGAAAAGAAAGCAGTCCCAACTGCACCAAAAGTATGCCATAATAGATCCTTTGTTTCTCGGGATGCTTAAGGTGAAAGGTGAAATGGTGTTTAATGATAAAACCACAATGACAGATGCGGCTTATAGTGGCACAATAATTAACACAATGCTTGGATCAAATAGAGGACATGGAATGTCGTGGGCATGCAGAAGCTGATTATGTCTACATGCCATTGAACACAACAATGCATTAGATATTGTTGGTCTTAGACATTAACAGTAAACGAATAAGAGTGTATGACTCCCTAAAGAGAAAGGGAGATTCACTGTCAAGCATTAGGGCTTTCATTCCTTGCTTGGAGACTTTCCTACCTTAGGTGATGGAAAGGTTAGTTGTTTATGACAAGCGGTCAGAGGCACATATTGGAAAAGGAAAAATTCGAATAGAGATGGTTCGTAACTGTCCACAATAGGAAGATGGGTATGTGGGGCTCAAATATTATATTTGTAACATAGTTTAATATATTATGCTTGTTTACCTTTATATTAAAGCATTTATGTCTTTACAGGGGCAATTGTGGTATGTTTAACATAAAGTTTGCTGAATTTCTAATGATGGGTAGAGAGGTGATTGAAGTTTCAAACCATGACATGGAAAACTACCGACACAAAATGACGACAGAGCTGTTAATGTATGCATCACGAGGATAGGAGTTGGCTTAATATGATGTATTGATATGTACTTGGACGAAGATAATTTGTAATGAATAAGTGTTTCGAAAGGAAAGAAACTTGTAAAACTTCCATCGTTTGGTCATTAATACTTGTTTTTAAATGTTGATAACATTTGATTTGAAATGCTTTTTCATGTTTGATTTCATCTTTTTTGGGTGTCATATCAAATGCTTGCTCATGTTTTAT